TGCAATATTCTACCAGCTCTTTCTAGAGCTCAAAATAGGAAGAAAAGTTCATATAAACATAGGTCGACAAACGTTCCCTAAGGGCGCTACGGTTTTTTAAAGGGGCTTCCCTGAAGATGGTTTTTCCTTAATATTTCCGAAACGTGTTTAGATAAAGACATAAAATTTAGTATGCTAGCCTAGTTTTTTATGCTGGATCTAAAAATATTAACAATTTCAGACAGTTTTTTTTGGAAGCGTATGTAACAGAGACGGACTCAGGTTATTTTAGCCCCAAAATTTTTGTGTGATTCTATTTTTGAAATTCAATTTTAAAATTTGAAAATTTAGGGTTTTCTACATAAAAAGGTACTCTCATTGAATATCGATGAATTGTGCCATTTTTGAATAAAATCAAACTAAAAAATTTGTCACATGATAGGAAATGTACTGCGAATTTAAATGAATTGTTGAATAATTAGCCATGGCAACGAAAAAAATAATTTAAAAATTGGTAAATATTACAAAAATACATATTTCTATTGCAACATAGCTAACATTTAGGCAAAAACAAAAGAAATAATTTTTTTCTACGAACGAAATTGAAATTTGCTTAAAAAAGAAGACATACAGTTGGATATACTTAAAACTAGCTTTACAATAAGTGTTCAAATAAATTCCCATTTTGTTGGATACAGAGTCTCGCTCGACGAACTAATGACTGCGTAGCCCGAAAAGTAGAAAACCTTTTTCTTCTTAGTTCATTTGCAGCCTGATGGATTCTTTGAAGTAAATCTTCTTGAGTATTTACTTCAGTCGAGTAAACTAGGTCTTTTAATGACCCCCAAAAATAGAAATCCAATGGATTTAGGTCAGGTGAACGTGGCGGCCTCGCTATAGGACCTCCTCGGTCTAACCACCTGACATTCAACCAATTTCGAACATTGCGTCCAAAATTTGCTGGGGCGCCATCATGTTGAAAAAACATATTTTCTTGAAACTGCTGGCGCACAGCGAATGGTATTATATTCATGAGCTCATTCTGAAGAAAGTTCAGATACACCTCTGAATTAAGACGATTGAGAAGTACAATAGGCCCAATTACTTGATCCCCAATTACTCCTGCCCATAATTTCAATGAAAATCTATGTTGGAAATTTGTATGGCGAACAAGTTTTGGCTTTTCATCTGACCAGTGATGCATGTTATGGAAATTAAAAGCACCATTCCTAGTAAATATTGGCTCATCCGAACATAATATTCTAGAAATAGTGTTTTCATTTGCTAATATCCACTGGCAAAACTAGTGGTAAAAAATCTGCCTCCGTTATATGCTGCACCCGTTTAAAATGATAAGGATGTAATCCTTGCATTCTTGTAATTTTTCCTATCTAAAATTATTATTTTCAGGATAACTATCAAATAGGTATTCATAAATTTTTCTTACTATTGATCGAGGTATATCCGTAATTTCTGAAACATTTCCTATGCTTATTTGCTGATTATTTTCAAACATATTTAAAGCAATATCCATACGATGATTTCCCAGTGGCCTTCCTGAGCCCAGCATGCGCTGAAAACTTCCATGGTTTGACAAATTCCGGTGAATATCAGTAAACATTCGACGTCCAGGTACTATGCGATTGGGAAATCTTCTTTGATATTCTCTTACGGCTGCCAGTGAACTGCCATTGCAAAACCCGTACACAAAATGCATGTCAGTCAGTTCTCTGTCTGTAAATGGCATTTTAAATCGATTTTATAAAAATTTTGATTTTAATCTAGTAATTTTACACTGCTAACAATGTCAGCTTAACATCAAAATAAGTCATAACAAATCAAAAAAAATTTTGTTTGCAGTCATGGATGACTATGTATAATCAACAGTTCATTTAAATTCGCAGTACATTTCCTATCATGTGACAAATTTTTTAGTTTGATTTTATTCAAAAATGGCACAATTTATCGATATTCAATAAGAGTACCTTTTTTATGTAGAAAACCCTAAATCTTCAAATTATAAAATTGAATTTCAAAAATAGAATCACACAAAAATTTTGGAGCTAAAATAACCTGAGTCCGTCCCTGTTACATACGCTTCCTAACAAAATTGTCTGAAATTGTTAATATGTTTAAATCCAGCATAGAAAACTAGGCTAGAACACCAAATTTTATGTCTTTATCTCAACACGTGCCGGAAATATTAAGGAAAGACCATCTTCAGGGGAGCCCCTTTAAAAGACCGTAGCGCCCTTACGGAACATTTGTCGACCTATGTTTATATAAACTTTTCTTCCCATTTTAAGCTCTAGAAACCGCTGGTAGAATACTGCACACTTTTTTCGGGACAATTTTTGTAAAATAAATACGAGTAGATTATTCATACATAACGGAAAGACTTTGTCACAAGTTACAGAGAAAACAATACATATTGAACAAAATAACTTGTTCATCGACTAATAGATGAAAGAACGATAAAACTGTTAACTCAAATAAAAATAAAAAAAATTCTTCATCAGCTGATACACAAAAATTGTAGATGTAGAGTAAATGGCTTATTTTGATACTAGGGGCGGCGAAAAGGATCAAAAGTGGTCTAGTCGCCAAGCTTCGCCTCTCCACTACTAATACATAGTGTACAAAGAGGTGACATTGGCACATGTGTGCTAAGCCCTAAGGGGCACACACTATTGGAGACATTTTTTCGAAGAACTCCACATAACGTCATTAAAAATCGATCAGGTTGTCCACAAAGTTGGGGTTTTCCTTTACACGACGTGTAGATCTTGAAAACACAAGCAATTTTTTTAGTACCATATACACAAATGTCTTAAGGGAACCGAGATAAAGGGCTCTGCAACATCAAAAATATCTGAATACCGTCCTGTAGCCGCGACCCGTTACATCACCGAGTGGTACAAGGTCACTGGATCAACCCGACGATAGAACTGGGTCGGCGTCAGTGTGTCAGGTCAGCATGCAACCTTCAACCGACGGGTACGGTCACGCGTGTAGAGGTAATCGCGTAGACGAGAATCCCTCAACAAGCACTAGAGACGTGGCTAGAGAAGTGCAAGTATCAAAAACTAAAGTATGGCAAACGCTGCGTGAAAAGGGGCTGTATCCGTTTCACGTCCAACGTGTACAAGCCCTTCAACCTGACGATTTTCCAGCAAGAGTGCGGTTTTGTGAGTGGTTGTTGCATCAACATCAGCATCCGCACGCTGTCCGTCGGGCACATTTTCAACAAACATTTTCGGTGAATGTTTGGGCTGGCATGGTGAACGGTTTGGACCTTTTATTCTCCCAAATCGATTGGACGGGATGCAATACCTAGACTTTTTACGCAACATTTTGCCTTCCTTGTTAGAAGATGTGCCTTTAAGTGTAAGACAATCAATGTGGTTTCTGCATGATGGTGCACCGCCCCATTTTAGACGCGAAGTGCGTGAGTTTTTGAATGAATTATTTCCGAATAGGTGGATCGGACGTAATGGACCCGTAGAGTGGCCTCCGCGATCTCCAGACTTAACACCATGTGATTTTTTTCTTTGGGGAGAGATGAAACGCTTAGTGTACAAAACTGAAGTGCATACGGTTGACGAACTTCGTCTCAGAACTGAACAAGCTGCTGCTTTCATTCGGGGAGGGACTCCATTCTCAAAGCCTGCACCGATGCTTGGCTACGTCGTGCACGCACCTGTGTTTTTGAATCAAATGGCGATAACTTCGAACAATACCTATAAAGTACGTTTCCGAAAAACTGAAAACGCGGCAACGCCGTCATATTTGTTACTTCTGTTCGTGGTCTGCACCACCGTCTGCGTCTGCTCGGTAGCGCATCAGCTGATTTCATTTTCTGTTGGAGCGGTATGATTTCGGGCAGAGACGTACTTAGCCCTTCTCGTCAACTGGAGAGTGAGTACTTTTTCCTTTATTTTTTTTACTTGGTCGCCCTCGTTTCACTACACATTACCTTTGTTATTTCAAGGGTAGTTGTTTCTGAAAAGGAAAACCCCAACTTTGCGGACACCCTGTAATGTCACGTTTTAAGTTAATATACAGATGACAATTTTTGTATAGTACGTCAAATATGTTAGCATGATACCATACTTAATACTACCCTGATGGATGAGACTCCTATGTGTTGGCATTTGTCCGGATCATTAAAGCGGGCTCTCAACCAGAGGTGCTTGGTAACTGTATAGATTCCTGCTATCGACGTAGGGGTCGGTAGTACCATGTTTGGCTCATAGGTGGCAGTGGTAACTCTGAAACGCAATCGTTGTTAGGCTTCATGCGCATTGAACTATTTGAATAGTCTGTTTCATTTACTGGTTTACTGCTTTTAATTTTGTAAATCTACAAAAGGGAACATTGAAGTATTACGTAAGCATTAAGGAGGACTTGGCTTTGCGTATTTTTGATGACATTGGGGATGAGGGTCTGTATGGTGCCTACTTCAACAAAATTTATTGTTTTTACTATTCCGGGTCTTCTACGAGATTTAATCGATTTTGAATTGAACACATAGGGAAACTTTGCTTGTCTATCCCCGAAATCTAAACCCATACTCGAGGATTCCTCAAATATGGATATGCTTACTCGTTTAAAACCTTAGCTATAAATGCTCCTGGTAGAAATGCGTATATCTCTTAGTCGGGACTTGGCTGGCTTGGCCTCATGACCATTTTGAGTCTCATTTGGGCGAAATCTATTAGCTGAGATATGGAGTTCAATGAAAATTGATGGTTATCATTTTACAGCAAAATGTATTGGGGTAGGAGAGCCAGATCTTCGTAATTTTTCTGACATTGAATGGTATTCAGTATACGTACGTGAAAGCCAAAAATAATCTGCGTACGTAATTCTTGAACGCCCCAAAATTCGCAAATAACGTTTGTCGTGTTAACTTTGGCAGCACTCATGATATTTTATGCCTTTGTTTTTTCCAGAGCTTAGGAACATGCGATGCCATTTTCTGCTCAGAGTGGTACAGAGCTGATTTGGAAACTATGAAAGACCTGGTGCTGATCTTGATGAGAACCCAGAAGCCAGCATATCTTGCTGCTCTGCCACTTGGAACTGTCAACTATGCTTTGTTTATGATGGTGAGATTTAGTAATAATAATTAGTTGTATTTTAGATAAACAGGATCTGTCAAGATTGATTCACATATTATCCTTGAAGATGAACAACCATACCTGCATACTGCATTACAGCATCTGAAACATACTAGCGCCATCTGCGAGACAGTGACAGAACACATATGAATCAATCTATGTTTAAATATTTAGAATGCTTGATTCTGTTACTGTCTTATAGATGGCGTTGCTATCTTAAATCGCTTTATGGCACCTCTCTAATTAATATCACACAGTGTAACAAATATATAACATTAGATGAATAAAAAGATAAGCCACACAAGGCAAAGCCTTAAGCATGACGTAAAAAATAAAATATTTAGCCTTGAGGAATACTCCAAACAGGTAACAGGAAGTAAATTAAAAAAACATTGATCCACCTCTCAATATATTTATATATATATATATATATATATATATATATATATATATATAAGTAGGAAAATAGTGGGAAAAATCCGCAAAAGGATGAAAGTGGATTCGATCAGAAAATAGGATTGGTAACGCGAGCGATACGTGCTGGTTGGCTTCATCAGGCCCGAAATGAATGTACATATATATGCAACTACAAAAGTAGATACACATGTCCACACATCCGGATATTGGTGTAACCTGAGGAAACGAAGGTGGAGAGGGAAAAAATCGACACTCGAAGTCCACAACAAGAGCCAACCTGCACATTGTAGTATAAAATGGCTAGAAGACCTCGAATTTTCAAGAAAACATGTAACCACAACCACGCGGTCGGTTATAGCCACTTGCTATGTTACTTCAAATCAAAATACTGGGCAAAATCCGCAAAAAAGATAAAGCCTCTCTCGGGTTTCCTATCCTATTTTCAGCTCGAATCTACTTTCATCCTTTTTGCGAATTTTGCCCACTATTTTCCTACTTTTTGTTATATACCTTTCTCGACATGATCATTTTCTCCTTATCTACAGGATGGCGCATCGAAAACGAAACGCATTTACAGGGCAGCTCAGTTTTTTTTTTGGAAAAACACTCAGACCCGTCGATTTTGTTTCGGGTCGAGTGATACCTTATTTTAAAGGTCTTTCAATTCCCTTTATAATGATGAAAAATACATCAGTAGTTTTGAAGATTTATTGATTTAAAGCTTAAAGTAGACTTTAATAGGTACATCAGATTAGTTTGTACTACTTTCAGAAGAAATTTGACTAAAAGAATTTACTTAATAAGTAAATGCTTTTCTTCACTACGCTCATAGTTTGTTTATCATCTTGTTGGTGAAAATAGCTATAGGAGCGTTTTTTTAGTGGCAAAAAAGTAATTTCTTGAAGAAAAATAAGGAAATATCTCGTACTTATTTTAAATAGGAATTTAGTACATAGTTTGCGATTGATTTGACCAAACTTTGTTGCTAAACTAACTTGTAACGCTTTATTACATAAATTAACCATGGTATATTCCACAGCAGAAAGAGTTGAAATTATCGAAATATTTTTCGGAAATAATCAGTGCGCTAATAGAACAGCGGAAATATTTAATGAGCGATATGACAACAGTAACGTGCATCGAAAAAATGTTCTAGAACTCTTAGCTAAATTTGGGGAAACTGGGTCAGTCGCCAACAAAAAACGCAACATTGAAAATTCCATAAGGAACGAAGCAATAGAAGTGGGGGTTTTAGGGCAAGTTTATGTAGATCCTACGATAAGTACCCGCAAATTGGAGACTGTGTGTGGTGTTAGTCGACGTACTGTCCAACGGATTCTAAAGGCCCATAGTTTTCATCCGTATAAAATTCACCTGGTACAAGAACTTAATGAAGACGATTTTGATCGGCGATTACAATTTTGTGAAGATATGAGTGAACGAATTATAAACGATGAACAACGAATGTTCCTTTTTCTTAAATGGCGTAGTAAATCGTCATAACTGCTCGATATTGGTCCGATTTTAATCCCAGAATTTATCATGAGGTTCATACACAGCAGCCACAAAAATTAAATGTTTGGTCTGGTATTTTTGGCAATCATTTAGTTGGTCCTTTTTCCTTACCTGGAAATTTGACCGGTAAAATGTATTTGGAATTACTGGAAGACGCCATAGATCCTGCATTAACAGCCATAATTGAAAATCAGAATGATCGGCGGTACATTGCGAATAGGTTGATGTTCCAACAGGATGGTGCCCCACCACATTACACATTACGTGTTCGACAATATTTAGATCAGACGTTTCCAGATCGATGGATTGGTAGAAGGGATGCCAAATTCATCACCTTTGGATTTCTTTATGTGGGGTCATTTAAAAAGCAAAATCTATGCTACTCAAACAACATCATTAGAAGGCCACTAATAAGCATGTATTAGTTTTATTTAAGGTTTAAATCAATAAATCCTCAAAACTTCTGAACTGAAGTACATTAATTTTATATCATTATAAAGGGAATTGAAAGACCTTTAAAATAAGGTATCACTCGAACCCATTTCCATTTAAGATTTTGGGGGTGGTGTCATCCCCGCTTAGGGGGCTGCACGTGCTAACGTGGTTTTTTGCCAAACTTATGTCCCCCTCGAAAAGAAAATCGACGGGTCTGAGCGTTTTTAAAAAAAAACTGAGCTGCCAGTAAATGCGTCTGTTTCGTTTTCGATGCGCCACCCTGTATATATATATAATTTTTCAATTGGGTATGTACAGGTGAAATACGTTATCCAAGCCTGAAGATATCCATTGAAAAAAGACGTTAGATAGGCATCGAGATTGAAGATAATATCACCATGTATGATCAGTAGTAGATCCCAACACTCTTTTCAAAGTAGATTTAGAATTTTTTTTATTCCGGTCTAATAGATGACGCTAGAACCTTTCAGATTAATTTATACTTGCCGGAATGCTTGGCTTAGGCTAAGGATTGTTTCTGTCTACAAGCAAGCATGCTTTTGATTTATTATTCGAATTGATTTTTGCATGTAACTAAATTTTTGTTTCAGATTATAAGGACATCATACTCCTACCTGACGTTATTAAACAATTCCTAATCTATAGTATAAGGGCATTACTGTGTAAATAGGAGATATGAATTGTTAAATAGTGGTGACAGAAATATACGCATTATAAAATAAAACTATGGTTTTATCAGTGGAGGCTGCTAAAAATCATCCTATTGAGATTCGAGAAGCCCTACTTAGAACAGAATAATGGCGCTTTGCATGGGCAGTCGGATGAAAGTCGGCATTTTCACTGGTATGATAATGAGTTATGCTGTAATTTTGCATAACATAGGTCGTTCACGAACTAGTACGTTTTACCGTACGCGACATATTGAACTAGTTCATCAAAATCGACTAGAAAGCCCATCACTATCTTGGGGCCTAGCGTCCATCTCAGCAAAAGACTGTACTTCTGATTGGTGAGCTACGTACCCAAGACTTAGGGATTTTAATCGATATTCCAGACGTGCAAAATTTTTTAAAATTCCCTTCAGTCCTATGCCTTCAAAGTTGCAAGTATAAGAACTCAAAATTTCAATTTTTGTCATCCGTGACTATAAGTGAATGAAATTCAATAGTTTACTTCTGTAAAATTACTCCTTGATCAACAATTCTCACTATATTGACGACAATAAAATAGTCTTCTTATTAACCAGTTTTTACTATACGAGGTCTGTAAATTAAGTGGCGAGACTGATTTTTAAATTTGTATATACTCAAATATAATTTCAATTTTACATTGTTATCCTCACAATAACTTTACCGACAGTGTTTATACAATTAATGCAATAAACATGGGTTGAAAAATGCGTGGCTTCCGAAATACAGGGTGCTTAAATTTACTTTGTAAAATAGTTTTTTTTAAATATTTCGAACAATATTTGATGTATAACAGTGAACATTGGTATACAAGGGTTTTTTGGTACGACAAAACGAACAACGGGCATAGTTTTACTGTAGCCGCTAGAGGGCGCTCTCTACTGTACCTGTAGTGTATTAAAATGACCGAAAAAATTTTCTTAGTGCAATTTTTTGCTTTTTGAATAAAAAAACTGATTCTTCGCACTTTTCAACATAAAAAAGCTCTCTTGTGAGTTTTCGTTATAGTTAGCCGTTTTTGAGATATTTCGATTTTTAAGGTTCGATGCATTTTTAATTATTTATGGGAAAATAATATTTTTTTTACATTTTCGATTTGGGCATTACAAGTAATTAAGATGATCGTTTAGATTGTGTTTTTAAACACAGCAATAATTCCTAATTCCAAATAAACACAAAAAAAAACAGAATATTAACTTGTTTAATTTTCCAATATTATTTTTAACAAATTAAATTAATTATTTACAACTAAAATGCTATTGGATAGTTAAGACAAACATTCAAAATCTAAAGTAGTTGCTCGAAATGTAAACCCAATTGTTCAATACACAATTCACATCTACGAATGATCGAACGTGGTATAGCATTATTCAAATAAGGCCTTATTTCATCACATGCATTCGTGATTCTGTCTATTAGCATATCTCTTGTGGTTACGGGAGTCTGGTACACTTTTGCTTTTAGAAATACCCACACAAAGAAATCTAATGGATTTAGGTCAGGGGATCGTGGAGGCCAGGCGACGGGTCCTCCACGGCCGATCCATCTTTCTAGATAATTTTCGTCCAGCCAGTTTCTAACTATTCTCGAATAATGACAACCATCAAGCTGGAACCAGGCCAATCTTCTTAAATCTAACATAACATCATCCCACATATTTGCATGTTCAGCCTTTAAAAGTTCCAAGAAGGTCGCAGCATTTAACCTTGCAGGCAAAAGGTAGGGTCCAAATAGTCGATTACGGTAGATACCAATCCACCCATTCACACTAAATTCATGCTGAAAATTTCTTTCCCGAACTGCATGCGGATTTTCATGCGACCAAATATGTTGATTATGAAAATTTACCACTCCACGTCTAGTGAGCATGACTCATCGGTCCATAAAACGTTACTTAAACACTCCCTATTATTATCAGTTATATCAAGAATCCACTGACAAAATGTGATTCTTCGTTCTCCGTCCCCTGGCTGAAGTCCTTGCACAGGCTGCAAATGGTAAGGACGTCTATGGTCATTTCTAAGAACGCGGTGAACATTACTTGCTGAAATTCCCAAGGCACCAGAAACTCTCCTAACACTTATGGTCGGATCTCTATCAAACTCACGCAGAATCATACGGGTAAAATCTGCGCTGACGAACATTTATGTTTTGATCCCTTTGGAGATTTCCAAAACCATTTTCAATTATTTGGCGATGCACTCTTACAAATACTGAGCGAGTTGGATGTCATCTGTTTGGAAATCTTCGTGCGTATTCTCTGGCTACTTCTGCTGCGTTTCCATTTACAAAGCCATACACAGAATGAATATCCGCTAACTCTTGATTGGAGAATAAAAATGACATTTTTATAAAACTTACAAAAAAAAAAAACAGGTAAAAGAAACTAAATTTCGTGCATTCACAATTGCAAAAAAACGTTTCAGGTTTCAACAGACAACAAAACTAGCTGTCAACTAATTGACGTTTAACCTTATTCTGCTTTCAATTTCAAAAATATTTGCAGGCACAGCCTACTTCTAAAAATTATCGAGATACTGACTTTTTAACGTTATTTTATCATAAATAATTAAAAATGCATCGAACCTTAAAAATCGAAATATCTCAAAAACGGCTAACTATAACGAAAATTCACAAGAGAGCTTTTTTATGTTGAAAAGTGCGAAGAATCAGTTTTTTTATTCAAAAAGCGAAAAATTGCACAAAGAAAAAATTGTCGGTCATTTTAATACACTACAGGTACAGTAGAGAGCGCCCTCTAGCGGCTACAGTAAAACTATGCCCATGGTTCGTTTTGTCGTACCAAAAAACCCTTGTATACCAATTTTCACTGTTATATATTAAATATTGTTCGAAATATTTAAAAAAACTATTTTAGAAGGTATTTTTAAACACCCTGTATTTCGGAATCCACGCATTTTTCGACCCATGTTTATATAGACTTTATGCATTTATTTTAAAAGTTCTATCGAATCTTAAAGTTGTGCAATAATAAACTGAAACAGCCTGTATAGCGAGAGCATATTATAATAATTTTTTAAGCTAATCTTCATAGTGCGAAAACTCCATTCCCGTGGTGAGCGAATCTGGATACATGATAATTTGGGACGCTGAAATTCTAAAGTATCATGTGTTAGGAAGTATCTGGGCGATATCAGAGAAATGGTGATGCCATCTGATATCAGAATCAGCTGTTTGACAAGGGTAAATACGAGCTGTGAACGCAGGGCATTTTTTAGAAAGGCAAGAATACGGCTTCAAACTTTGTAGGTCTGTATGAGCTAATAATTAATGAATGGATAATTCTCTAGGCCCCTAAACCTCAATGATTTTGCAAAGATAATCACAGAGTTCTGAATAAATTACAGAATATGTCACTCTCGCAGTCCATCTAAAGCTTCCATTGAATCATATGGTAGCAAACAAATTAAGAATTTATGAAATACGCCTATAATGCTATTCGATATAAAAAATTCCCTTTTGCGAAAAAAATCATTCCACCGAGAGGCGTTATCAGATTAGTTGTGCACTGTAAGGATAAGCGCAAGTTCTTATCCTATTGGTTGTATCACATCACTGGCGCTTCGACTGCAAGGTAAGCTTTTCAACATCTCCTCATATTTTCGTAATGATCTTTGATATTTGAAAAAGTTAACATATATTCTAAGAGAATTTCAGTGGCATATACAGGGTGTTTCAGTTTATTATTGCATAACTTTAATATTCGATAGAACTTTTAAAATTAATGCATAAAGCCTATATAAACATGGGTCGAAAAATGCGTGGCTTCCAAAATACAGGGTGTTTAAATTTACTTTCTAAAATAGTTTTTTTAAATATTTCGAACAATATTTGATGTATAACAGTGAAAATTGGTACACAAGGGTTTTTGGTACGACAAAACGAACCATGGACATAGTTTTACTGTAGCTGCTAGAGGGCGGTCTCTACTGAACCTGTAGTGTATGTATTAAAATGACCAAAAATTTTTTCTTAGTGCAACTTTTTGCTTTTTGGATAAAAAAATGATTCTTCACACTTTTCAACATAAAAAAGCTCTCCTGTGAGTTTTCGTTATAGTTAGCCGTTTTTGAGATATTTCGATTTTTAAGGTTCGGTGCGTTTTTAATTATTTATGGGAAAATAATATTTTTTTTACATTTTCGATTTGGGCATTACAAGTAATTAAGATGATCGTTTAGATTGTGTTTTTAAACACAGCAATAATTCCTAACTCCAAATAAACACAAAAAACAGAATATTAATTTGTTTAATTTTCCAATATTATTTTTAACAAATTAAATTAATTATTTACAACTAAAATGCTATTGGATAGTTAGGACAAACATACAAAATCTAAAGTAGTTGCTCGAAATGTAAACCCAATTGTTCAATACACAATTCACATCTACGAATGATCGAACGTGGTATAGCATTATTCATCACATGCATTCCTGATTCTGTCTATTAGCATATCTATTGTGGTTACGGGAGTCTGGTACACTTTTTCTTTTAGAAATCCCCACACAAAGAAATCTAATGGATTTAGGTCAGGGGATCGTGGAGGCCAGGCAACTGGTCCTCCACGGCCGATCCATCTTTCTGGATAGTTTGCGTCCAGCCAGTTTCTAACTATTCTCGAATAATGAGCTGGACAACCATCAAGCTGGAACCAGCCCAATCTTCTTAAATCTAGCACAACACCATCCCACATATTTGCATGTTCAGCCTTTAAAAATTCCAAGAAGGTCGCAGCATTTAACCTAGCAGGCAAAAGTTAGGGTCCAAATAGTCGATTAGGGTAGATACCAATCCACACGTTCACACTAAATTCATGCTGAAAATTTCTTTCCCGAACTGCATGCGGATTTTCATGCGACCAAATATGTTGATTATGAAAATTTACCACTCCACGTCTAGTGAAGCATGACTCATCGGTCCATAAAACGTTACTGAAAAACTCTCTATGATTATCAGTTCTATCAAGAATACACTGACAAAATGTGATTCTTCGTTCTCCG